TATTAAGGAACGATTGTTCCACTTTAGTCTTATCTTATTTGCAATTAGGAACGTGCTGTTCCTAATCGCTGCTTGTCGTTCCCAAATGTTTTAATTGGTCCCTTTCAAAAGCAATTTTGGTCCTTTTTTCTGCTGAAAGCATGGAAACAATAGTTTTGTTTCCAAACTGGAATTAGTTCCGCTTTAAGTTAAAGAGGAACTAGCATTCCGTTGTTTTATTTGAGTCACTTAATGGGAACGAGGGTTCCTATTTAGCGTTGGTGAACACGAACACAAGTTCCGAGGTTACTTTACCATTCTAACATGCGCGATCGAGGGCAAATTCAATTTCTAGCCTGGCTTGCCTGCTGCATGCTTAATCAGGTAAGGGCAGGTTGGGACAAGATGAGACCTGCCCCTTTGTTCCTTTGTTTGGTTTTATTGTGTGAGAAGCGGGCCAGATGGATAACAAGTCAGCTATTTATTATAAATACAGTAGTCTCGCGAGAAACTTCACATATCAGATATTAAAAGATGAACAAAAGAGGAGTGGAAATCGACTGGTCAAAGTTAGAAAACGCATCTCCTAAACCCAAACGACTTCACTTAGAAGAAGACGATTCTGATGGCCTTTTTCACTGTCCAGTGCAAGATTGCAATCATGATGGGTTTACAACGGCAAGAGGATGCAGAAAACACGCAAAGAACAAACATCGTTGGTACTTTTATTTCGACGAAAAGCCAGACATCACTCAGATTGAATCAGGCCAACAAAAAAGCAACAAAATGGAGGTCAGTGATCACAAGATTCCACCTAAATCTAGAAGAGTTGTCTCTTTTGCCATGTCAAGTGAAATCGCACAAGATTTCTTGTCCTGGCTCACCGGCAGTGGCGGAGGTTGTAAAAGTGATCGGCAAGCGCACCAAATTGTCAGCAAGTGTTTGAAGTTTCTTAAATTCTGTTGCGAAGAAGAGGAGGATCTTACATTTGAAATCGTTGACTTTAGTCTATGTTCGCCCAATCTACTTTTCAAATTTGTTGACATGATGCAAGACGAGTGGAATCTCGGGCACGCAGGGCGCATAGGCTATTTGGACGCCATTGCAGAATTAGGGGATTTCAGAAAAGTCAATGGAGCTTCGGAATCGGTATTAAGAGGGTTATCTTCCACAGAGCTGTACTTAAAACGAGTCCGCAAGACCGTCTCCAAGATGATGCGATTACAATGGA